ACAGAACATGTGACATGAGAAAGGAAGGATCCAATGAGAAGGCTCAACATGCATTTAATTGAAACCCCAGAAGAAGGGAAGAGAGAATAGGGCAGAGGCAATTTGAAAAGAAAATCATGATTTTCCAGTTTTCCATAAAGATAGCAACTCAGATCTTTAAGAAGCTGAATAATCACAAGTAGGATAAATAAAAATAAATCAATAGGTAGACACATCATTAAGAAATTTCAGAAAAATAAAGACAAAAAAAGTAATAAAAGCAGTCAGATAAATGAGAAAGATTGTCTTCAACTGAGCAGTAGTTAATGATTGTTGACTTCTTAATCACAAAAATGGATTGCCAGAAGACAACAAACTGATATCTTTAGTATGCTTAATGAAAATAACTGCCAACTTAAATTTGTAAACTGAGTGAAGATATTTTTCAAAATTGAATATGACATGTTTAAAGCAAACAAAAAGTGGGGGAATTTTATTCACTAATAGGAGCTCTGGTGGTGTAGTGCCTAACACATTTGACTGCTAATCAGAAGGCTAGTAGTTCAAACCCACCAGCCACTCCTCAGAAGGAAGATTGGGCAATCTACTTCCATAGAGATACCACCTCAGAAACCCAAAGAAGGGTCACTGTGAGTCAGAACCGACTTAATGGCAGTGAGTTTTTTTTTTTTTTTTTTAATGGAAATTTAAAGAATTCATTTAGGTTGGGAAAAAAAAATTCAAGATGCAGAGAGGAATTAAGAGCAATAGAAATGGTAAGTAAATGGGCAAATCTATTTATTTCCTTATTTGTTTTATTGTATAATACAACAAAAATAATACTTGTGGGGTTTGAAAAACCTACATACATTGAAAGAATGTAAATAGATAATAACTTACAACAATAAGTAAGTAAGTCACAAAAGGTTAAATAGAATTAAAGTGTTTTCATGATTTCACATTGTTTTGCTATAGGATAAAAGTATTATTAATATACACTGATATCAAGGATGCAGGTTATTTTGTAACTTCTATGCTAATAACAAAAAATATAGAAACACATATAAATTTTAAGGTAATAGGAATATGAAATGATAAATTACCTTATCTAAAAAAAAAAGGCAGGAGAGGAAAGATAAAGCAAGTTAGAAAAGGAGATACAAATGTAAATAAGATAATATAAGTAGACTTAAATGGAAATATACCAGCAGCTCCCACTAGAATAGATTTAAAAAAAAAAAAAAGACCCTAATGGTATGTAAAACAAAAAAAGAAAAACACTGCCATCGAGTCGGATCCAGATCATAGTGACCCTTCCTTGGGTTTCCAAAGTGGTATCACTACAGAAGTAGATTGTTCAACTTTCCTTCTGAGGAGTGGCTGGTGGGATTGAACCACCAGCCTTCTGGTTAGCAGTCTAATGCCTTAGGCATTAGGCCACGAGATGTTTCCACATAAATATATGGAAAAATGCAAACCTTACTGGGCTGTAAGGACAAAAATTAAGAGTTTAGAGTCTAGTTTAGGATGAGATGGGGCTACATCCAGAAATACAGTTGAATTTACCTGAGAAAACCAAACACATTAATGAAAAAAAGAAAAACTAGAAGAAATAAATAAGAATAGAGTGTAGCAAGTTTGTTTAATACAAAACAACATATAAAAATAATAGAATTTCTAACCCCAAGAAATGAAATCTAGGGAAAGAAAAGTTTACAGCATATGTTCTCTAGTGAAACTATCTTTGTTCAAATATTGACTCAACTCTTTACAGGCTGTTTGACCTGGATAAGTTTCTGAATCTGAGCATCAGTGTCTCTAAGTGATAAATATGACATAGGAGGTCATACATTCAGCATTAAAGACTTATGTGATCAACATACAGTGAATATCATATTAAAGCAAAATCTAAACACAGTATCAACCAATATTATAAAGGACTTATGTAAAAAATGTGCTATATCCTTATGAAAAAGTTGTAGGCTTAGTGAGCACTATCAGTAAAAATATATGAAAGGTTAGTTGTTTCTAGATGGACTCCTCAATATTGTTAAGATCCCATGTCACCAAATGGATCTATAAATTTTCTATAATTTAATTCTATATCACAAAGAATTCTATTAACATAAAATTGTCACAAGTTTTGAAGGAGCTATGGTATTGCAGTGATTAAGCACTCAGCTGTCAACCAAAATGTTGGTGGTTCAAATCCACCAGCTGCTCCATGGGAGAAAGGTGACAATCTGCTTTTGTAAAGATCACAGTCTTGAAAACTGAAGGAGAAAATATGTTAATCATGTTTATAAAGGAAGAAAAACTATTTGATAACATTTTATTCAAGAAGATTGATATATATGCAATTAACTATTGGATGTTTGTAACTGATAGCAGCAAAAATGGATGTCATAATTGTTGTATATTGAAAAAGTATTTAATACTTATGCAGTTACATAACACTGAAATAAAAATTCAGCATGAAAGAAAGGAAAAGTTTAAATATAAAGAAATAAAGGATGATTTTTAAATAAATTTTATAGATTAAACTCTTGGTTACAAATCAATCAGTAAAGTTATAATGTCATCAAATATCTATTGATATGCAAACACATTTATGACATATTTATAATTGAAAATCCATATGCATTCTTAACATTAGTACTATGAACATCATAATTCCCTTTTCATGTATTTAAAAATTACATATGCATAGATGTAGATCAAAGAGTAGAAAGACTTAAATAGTGGTTATTTCTGTAGAATGAAATTATGACCTTTTTTCTTTAGTTGCTACTATGAGTGAGTTTTTCCATATTTGCTAAGTGGCCTGCATTGAATCTGTGTTAATTTTAATGTTAAAATTTAAATGTTACAAAAAACAGACAGAAAAGACTGACGATTTATAATTACTTTATGTTTTAATCCCTTAGGATCCAGACTCTGGCTGGTTTAAAGTCTTTCTCCTCCTGGCAGCCATTGGTGTGTTAAGTCTCATTTTCTACCTTATATTT